TAGTCCCAAGCTCTCCAACCACTGTGTCTCCCGAAGTAGCACCCCTAGAACCAGCACCTCCAGTCCCAGGGTCGCCAGCCTCAGTGTCTCCAGCAGCAGCACCTCCAGGCGCAGCACCCCCAGCCCCAGCAGCTCCAGTACCTCCAGCAGCAGAGCCCCGGGCTCCAGCAGCGCGACGCTGACGGCGACCGTACCAGTCGTGCAGCTGCTGAGTGGTGAGAGGCACACGCGGACGAAGGCGGCCACTCCAAGTAGGCCGCGCACCAGCAGTCCAAGTACTCTCAAGCGTCTCACCTCCAGACTCAGCACCCCCAGACTCCGCACACTCCGGCGCAGTACCCCCAGACACAGCACCCCCAGGTGGAGGACCTCCAGACTCCTCACACGCAGGCTCAGCACCCCCAGACTCCGCACCCCCAGACGCAGCACCTCCAGGAGCACCACCCCCAACAGCATCGGAGCCAACAATAACCGGCTGCAGAGGCGGCGAGAAAGGTCGCGGAGGGAACCCCGGAGGGGTCTCCAAGCGTGGTGCTCGGCGATAGGCCGCCGGGGCGTCAGCAGCAGCGTCACCCCCCTCAGGTGGGCCAGAGGTGTCGGAAGTGACCTCCAAAGGCTCAGCCAAGGGGGGGGGGTCTACCTGAGACACACCTGAAGGAGCAGGACCCTGAGGGGGGAGGGGGTCTACCGGAGGGGGACCTGGAGCAAGGAAGAGCGGCGGGGGGGGGGAGGGGGGCAGCGCGGTAGGGGAAGAGACGGTAGTACGGAACCGACTCGTCAAACGTGACGTCCTGGGAGGACAGAACACGGCGCGAGGTGGGGTGGTAAAACTGCCAACCAGGCGCGTCAGGGGGGAAGCCAAGGAAGACGCAGGGAACAGCACGGGAGGACAGCTTGTCCGTAGACAAGTCTCGGACAAAAGCCCGAGATCCCCAGACACGAAACGCAGACGCATCGCCAACCTGCCCCGTCCACCTCAGAGTGGGGGAGGTGTCCGGCATGGAGACCCGGGGCTGAAGGTTGATCTGACGCGCCGCGTACTGAACCGCAAACGGCCACAGAAAATGGGGAGCAGCTGCATGGATCATGGACGTGCGAGCGACATCCATGACCATGCCAATGCGGCGCTCAGCAATCCCATTTTGCTGCGGAGAGGCCGGAAGCGTGAATGTCTGGCGGATGCCCCTCGCACGACAGAAGGCTCGTAGAGGGCCGGAGGAAAACTCTCCACCCCTGTCAGAGTGCAGACGCAGAACAGGAAAGTCCGAGCCGAAACTCTTCCTGAGCTGGAGACGAGCAGCGCGGATCCAGTCGATCAACACCTCAGTGACCTCATCCTTGCGGCGCAAGGGGAAGACTGTGGTGTAACGCGAGTAGTCGTCAACCACCAGCAGGAAATAGCGCTCGTGACCCTGTCCACAGACGCGGGCTGGGCCCCACACGTCCATGTGAAGAGTCTGCAGCGGAGCCTCTGTCGGCGGAAACTCGGAGGAGTGAGGAGCGGCGCGCTGCCGCCCCTCGACGCAGGGAACGCAGGTAGGGGCAGGCCCCGGAGGGAGGGGAGGGAGGGACCGGGGGAGACCAGAGACAAGGACACGAGAGGCCATGCCTCGGAGACGAGGCAGGGAGGGGTGACCAAGACGGTGGTGCCAGAGAAGAGTCTCGTGGGACAGGAGGCGACACGAGCAGGGGGCAGACTCAGGACCAGACCGAGACGCCGTAGCAAACACCTGACGCAGCTACCTGACCAGGCACAGCAACCGGAGGAGACTCGGTAGTCAGGGTGTACAGGCTCGACCCCGGCCGACGGGTAAACGTGGCCAAGTGTCGGCCTGTGTCCGCACACGTGCAGTGGGTCACCCGCTGACGTGCAGGGGTGAACTGGTCAACCCCCCCATCCTGTAGGTCAGCACCCGCCACCAAGTTCGTAGAGAACGAGGGGAGGTAAAGACCTGACAGGGAGCCAGACGGGACCGCTGGACACGGTAGAACAGTGGAGTAGTGGGCAAGAACAGGACCCCCAGAGGGGTCTGCCAGGGAGACCGCAACCGGCCGACTGAGCGGCGTGAGAGTGGTGCGGTCTCGAAAGAAGGAGCGGGAAGCACCCGAGTCAAGGGTGAAAGTGCGCGACGACTGAGTAGACGTGGTACCTGAGAGAGCAGACTCACCAGCACCTAGGGCAGCAGACTCACTAGCACCTGGAGCAGCAGACTCGCTAGCACCTGGAGCAGCAGACTCAGTGGCACCTAGAGCAGTAGCTGCACCGCCCGGGTCAGGCGGAACACTCAGGTAACAGTCACCGTCATCACTAGTAGACATAACATACATGGCAGCAAGGATAGCATCATAGTCAAGATCAAAGATAGGAACCCCCGACCTAAGTAGCTCATGCCAGTGCGGGAGCTCAGTGGCGTCAGGGAACCGGATACGCCAGGCGTCTGTCAGGCGGCCGAAGCAGCGCTGGGTGGTGTGCGGGCCGCCACACGGCTCACCAGTGCGGTCACCAGTACGCAGAACGTAGGTACAGGGACCAGCACCCCCAGGCCGCTGACGTCCAGCGTACCACTGGTGGAGCTGCTTGGGCGGAGGGGCCTCACGAGAGCGCTGCTGCTGCTGACGCTGTCCACCACCAGAGCCTCCCGGCTGCACAGAGCCACCCCGACCAGCGCCACCGCCACCACCGCCACTGCCTCCTCCGCTGCCACCGCCGCCACCTCCACCTCCTCCACTCCCACCGCTGCCGCTGCTGCTGCCTCCGCCTCCACCGCCAACACTAGAGCCCCCACCTCCGCCCCCACTCCCACCTCCACCCCCACCCCCCTTGCCGCCTCCACCACCACCACCACCACCCCCGCCAGCTCCTCCAGCACCCTTGCCTCCCTTGCCCTTGCTGTTGCGGCGCCTCCCGCTAGGGGCAGACGCAGCGCCGACCGACTCAGTGCCAAGGAGGTCGACAGCAGCAGCAGAGGCAACAGAGGGCAAAAGGGGAACAGGGGAGCACCCCTCAAAGATAGGGGCACGGGGGTCACCTCGAGAGGCTCCTACAGCGACTATGCTCTTCTCAGCTGCAAGGAGCTCCTTCTCGAGGAGGTCAACGGTGAGGGTGGTAGGGCAGGCAGCCAGGAAGTGGTCCCTGACTGAGCGAAGGGAGTCAGGGAGGCGGGTGACTAGGTAGTAGAGGGTGATATACATGGGGGGGGGGTTCTTGGCGCAGAACTCAGCAGGAAGCGCAGCACGGTAGCGGGTGTCACTAGTGCGGAGGTGTGTAATGAGGTCAGCGACTGTAGCAAAGGCGGCGAGGTCAGGGAAAAGGTAGGGGAGCATGAGGCGGCTAAGGGCAGCAGAGGCAGGGGAGGAGTAGCGCGCAACGACAGCATCGAACAGGGTCTTAGCGGTCTTAAACTGAGTGAAGTGCGCACGCTCAGCAGACGGCAGGTGACTACGCACAGCAAGGCGGGCAGCAGCATCGCGGGTGTTCCAGCGAGAGCGCACAGTAGCATCAGCATCAGCAGCAGGTTGGGGGGAAGCACCAGACGTGAGGTCATGCAGCGAGACATCGTCTTTGCTATCACACTGCAGGAAAAGCTGCAAGTCGTCAAGCCAGACCTCAAAGTCTATCGCCCGACCCTCAGCATCGAAGGTAAGCACAGCAGGACTAGCCATGGCAGCAGGCGGAGCAGGCTAGTAGCAGCAGTAGAAGAAAGCGAGCAGGAGCAGTAGCAGTAGCAGTAGAGGCACGGCTCGGCGATGCGCTTACCAGGGGCGGGCTGGAGAAGCCCGCAAGCGGGGGGGCAAGGCTGAGGTGTCCGAGCAGGGTGAGGGCCGCACCAGGGCGGCGGAACAGGGCCGGGACGGCGGCGGCGGCTGCGACTAAACGGCGGCAGCTGCAGAGGGACGGCTGCTCCAAGGGCGGCTCCTCCAGAGGCTGCTGCTCCAGGGGCGGCTGCTGCAGAGGGGCGGCTGCTCCAGGGGCGGCTCCTCCAGGGGCGGCTGCTGCAGAGGGGCGGCTGCTCCAGGGGCGGCTCCTCCAGGGGCAGCTCCTCCAGGGGCGGCTGCTGCAGAGGGGCGGCTGCTCCAGGGGCGGCTCCTCCAGGGGCAGCTCCTCCAGGGGCGGCTGCTGCAGAGGGGCGGCCGCTCCAGGGGTGGCTGCTTCAGGGGCCGCAGGGGGCCGTCACAGCAGTAGCGGCGGCGGCGTCACAGCAGCAGTGGCGGCGGACTTCACGGCAGCAGCTGCGGCGGCGGCCAGGCGTGGCGGAAGCGGCAGTGGCAGCAGGCGCGACGGCCGCTGCTGCGGAGGCGGCGACGATGGGGCGCCGACAGGGGGGGGGGGGGGGCGCGAAAGGGGGGCCGCGAAAGGGGGGCCGCGAAAGGGGGCCGCAAAGGGCCGTGAGCGAGCCGCTAAGGGCCGCGAAGGGGTCCGCGACGGGCCGCGAAGGAGCCGCGGGCCGGCGCACGGCGCTACAGCAGTGGCGCGCGCCAAAAAACAGTGGCACGCGCGCTGAAAACTGTGGCGCGCGCGCTAAAAAAAAAGGTTATGCGCGCGCGCAGCCGAGGCGCGCGCGGGCAGCAGGCAAGTCAGGTAAGGCCGTAATGAGGTAACACAGTAACCAGTGGGCCCTAAACTTAGGTCCTAAAGACCTGCTCTAGATACCATCTTAGAACTTAGCAAGGAAGAAGGTTGATTAGGTGAGGGTTGTGGGTACAAGAAAGAGAATGTCGAGAAAGTTTGTGTACCCCCTAGTGCTAAACCCCATGCAGCCTAGACATCCTAAACAAACACACATATATATAATTTGACACTAACTATAGCCTAGTACACGCAAAAATAGTTTGACTCTCGCCACTATGCCCCGGCAGGGATGAACTATCCAGGTTATCCTGTTGGCATACAGAATGGAAGTTCGGAGTTACAGTAAGAAGTCTAAAGCTCTGGTATCCGAAAAAAAAAAGCCCGCCTTCCATGAGCGGTGAGCAGCACTCGGCATGTGCATGGCCGTTCTTTATGATCCAAACAAGGCAGTGCTGAAGGAGCCAGTATCCACACCTAAGCCGTTGAGGCATATGCTTAACACTCAAACACCACTTTTTTTGCTCACGGTGTCCCTTTTTTCACTACTTGGTCCAGCAGTATCCCCTTCCCCTCCCGCCGATGAGAGGGAGAATACGCCGGGCCCGTCAAGAGCCATAAAGACACAGGTGGAGCGCGTGGCAGGCACGGCATGGCTGTGCTTGCCCTCGTACGTGGTCACCACCTCCCTGGGGTCGTCTTCACACCGCTCCACGTGCTTCCTCACTATGCACCCTGGATGAGTGCACTTATAGTAGCTCCTGCACAGCCACACACAGCGTGTGAGTGTGTGTGCATGTGTGTGTGTGTGTGGGGTGTGTGTGTGTGTGTGTGTGTGTGTGTGCGAGTGCATGTGTTTGAGAGAGAGAGAAAGAGAGAGAGAGAGAGAGAGAGAGAGAGAGAGAGAGAGAGAGAGAGAGAGAGAGAGAGAGAGGGGGGGGAGGGGGGGGAAGGGAGGGGGGGAGGAAGGAGGAGGGAGAGAGGAGTGTGAGCAAGACACGCCAAGGATGAGCAGCTGCCAAAGAGTGTGTCATGCAAGCAAGAGGGGGGCTATTCAAGAAGTCCCACTGGTACCCAGCTCTGTCTTTCCACTGCTATCACGCCCACTCCGTCCCTCCGTCCCTGCACAGCCGCTGTGGCTGCCCCACCTGGGGAAGCGGCGGCCGTGCACGAGTTTCTGGCCGTACTTGCGCCAGCGGTACCCGTCGTCCAGCAGCTCCACCGCACTCACTGCGCGCACCACCACCTTGGGCCCGCGCTGCACTCGCTGCCCACAAAACGGCTCCGGTCGCCTGTGGGCCGCGGCGGGGGGAGGGGAGGTGGGGAGGAATTGTCCGCGGGGCAAGTGAGCATAGCAAGTGGTGGGGCGGCGTGCGAGGAGTAGAGACACAGCGCAATGCATGGGGAGTGAGGTCAACAGGGTGCAGCGCCATGCATGGCAAGGCTGTGAGCGAGCATGACTCTCACGTGCAGCCTGCCTGCCACCACCTGCTGCTGCACCAGTGGCACCTCCTACCAGACCTGCCCATGTCCATCACAGGGGCTGTCCCCCTCACTCAACCGTGCCCATGCTTGTCCCACCTGCCCGCAAGAATGCTCCGCCCTCTTCCTGTCTACCATGTGGGTTGACCTGCTCTTGTTCTGTAGCGTGCCGCACCCTTGTCCTAAACCTAGACAAGGAGTAGAGGAAAAGCAGCTATCGAAAGGACGTGTGCAACAGAAGCCAAAGAAGGGCGGCAGTTTCCCAAATACAGCAGTTTCCCCCGTCTACTCAGCGGGGTGGCAGGCAGGGCGCTTACTTGCCACCCACAGCAGCTTTGTTTGACAGCGACTGCTACTTGGCACTGACTGGGCGCCCTTCAGTCCCACACCCTCCGTGGCACATTGCCTACTCCACATCGAGCACGCGGCTCAGCCACATGCAGACAAAGCGAGCAACGGCTGGAACACCGTGAGAGACAAGGGGCAGGAAGAGAAGGCAGCAGCGTGGCAGCGCTTGCCCGGCATACCTCTTGCGTTGCTCCTTGCTGGTCGCCTCGCCCTCCGCCTTCCTCCCCACACCCGCGTCGCCCTCGCCGCCCTCAAAGCTGCTCCTCGACCGCGATGCATCCTCACTCTGCCCCACCCTCCCCTCCTTCTCCCACGCAATCGCCTCTCTCCTTCTCTCAATCTCCTCTCCTCTCCTCTCCTCCTCGCCTCTGCACTGCCCCACACCATCCGCCCCTGCGCTCCTGTCCGCCTGGCCAGCACAGCCATGAGCGGAGTCTCCTTCCCTAAGTGCACCACTCGCACTGCTCGACTCCCCACCCATGCCAATGCTGCCAACGCTGCCAGTGGCAGCAGGCAGGTCGATGGGGGGGGGAGTGGGCAGTGGAGGGGCATGGCAGTGGCGGCCGTGGTACTGGCAGTGTGAGGCGTGGCCGTGTGCTGCCAGCATCACGCGCTTCTTGGCGGGGCACCCAGGCGCCGTGCACCGGTAGTAGATGCACGGGCCTCCCCCCCCACGCACCTCCGTCTGCCCGTACTTGTGCCAGCTGTACCCGTCCACTGCCCCGCCTGCTGCCGCTGCTCCTGCACCCACCGCGTCTGTCTCTCCTCCGCCATCCGTCCAGCCCTCTTCCATACCCTCTTTTCCACTGCCCTCCTCGTCATCCTCCACTTCCCACCCCACCCCGTCCTCCCCATGCGCACGCCCACCCTGCGCCCTGGCGCCGTCCTCCCCATAGGCGCTGGTGGGCAGCACCCAGTTGTGCATGTCACTGCGTGCGACCCCTGGCAGCGCCTGTGGCAGATCCCCCTCGTCTTGCCACTGCGCCACTCTCTGTTGCGGCACGGCCTCGCCCCCATGTGCGCCTGCATGCACTGCCACGCCATCACCTGCCATCCCCGCTGTCACGCCCTGCTGCGTGCTGCCATGTCCCCCCCCCATGGCACTGCTGGCTGCAGCAGCGTGAGGGGCGGCGGAACAAGGCAGCATGCGGGCGGCATGGGAGTGAGCGTGCGAGGCAGTGAGCGCCGTGTGGTGGGGGCGTGCACGTGCCACTGCCACATCGCCCACCACCACTGCCTCCGCCCCCACTGCTTCCCTTGCTCGCCCTGCACCCATCCGCTCCCCCTCCACCATGCGTGACCCCCTTCCCTCCGCATCCCCACCCAGCCCCAGCGCCAAGGCTGCATGCACGCCCTCACCCTGCCCGCCACCCACGCTGCCGTCTTCCTGCCCCATCGCCCCGCCCCTCCGCCCTCCTCTGTCACTCCATGTCAACCCCCCCTCATCCCCACCCTCCATCCGCTGCCGCTTCCTCCGTCCCCCATGCTCCTCCCCCTCCTCCTCTCCTGCCACCATGCGCCCTTTTCCCTCCCCGCCCCCACCCCCCTGCGCCTCCATGCCCCCTTCCAGCAGGGGCGCTGTGCTGCTGGCGGGCTGCGGATATGCCGGGACGCACAAATGGTGGGGGGGATGAGGAGATGAGGGGATGCAACGGGAAATGGCATAATCGGTGGAGGGGAGGGGGAGGCAGTGTGGTGAGGAGCAGGGGGGGGATGGTGGCGGGTGTGATGTGGGGGAGGTGAGGCGACACTGGGCGAGCATGGAGAGCAGATGTACTGCCAAGAGCCACCGTGTCACACGCATGCATGCACACGCATGCATGCACACGCTCTCTGCCTTTCCATGCATGCACACGCTCTCTGCCTTTCCATGCATGCACACGCTCTCTGCCTTTCCATGCATGCACACGCTCTCTGCCTTTCCATGCATGCACACGCTCTCTGCCTTTCCATGCATGCACACGCTCTCTGCCTTTCCATGCATGCACACGCTCTCTGCCTTTCCATGCATGCACACGCTCTCTGCCTTTCCATGCATGCACACGCTCTCTGCCTTTCCATGCATGCACACGCTCTCTGCCTTTCCATGCATGCACACGCTCTCTGCCTTTCCATGCATGCACACGCTCTCTGCCTTTCCATGCATGCACACGCTCTCTGCCTTTCCATGCATGCACACGCTCTCTGCCTTTCCATGCATGCACACGCTCTCTGCCTTTCCATGCATGCACACGCTCTCTGCCTTTCCATGCATGCACACGCTCTCTGCCTTTCCATGCATGCACACGCTCTCTGCCTTTCCATGCATGCACACGCTCTCTGCCTTTCCATGCATGCACACGCTCTCTGCCTTTCCATGCATGCACACGCTCTCTGCCTTTCCATGCATGCACACGCTCTCTGCCTTTCCATGCATGCACACGCTCTCTGCCTTTCCATGCATGCACACGCTCTCTGCCTTTCCATGCATGCACACGCTCTCTGCCTTTCCATGCATGCACACGCTCTCTGCCTTTCCATGCATGCACACGCTCTCTGCCTTTCCATGCATGCACACGCTCTCTGCCTTTCCATGCATGCACACGCTCTCTGCCTTTCCATGCATGCACACGCTCTCTGCCTTTCCATGCATGCACACGCTCTCTGCCTTTCCATGCATGCACACGCTCTCTGCCTTTCCATGCATGCACACGCTCTCTGCCTTTCCATGCATGCACACGCTCTCTGCCTTTCCATGCATGCACACGCTCTCTGCCTTTCCATGCATGCACACGCTCTCTGCCTTTCCATGCATGCACACGCTCTCTGCCTTTCCATGCATGCACACGCTCTCTGCCTTTCCATGCATGCACACGCTCTCTGCCTTTCCATGCATGCACATGCTCTCTGCCTTTCCATGCATGCACACGCTCTCTGCCTTTCCATGCATGCACACGCTCTCTGCCTTTCCATGCATGCACAACGCCCACCACTCCCTCCCCCATCCGCTCTCCCCCTCTCCTCAGCGCGCCCCTCACCTGCGAGCGCGGCACTACGGGCGAGTCCAGGAGAGCGGCGGGGCTGAGTCCCCCCGCGATCAGGAAGCACACGGGCCCCGTCGCGGGTGCGCCCGTCACCAGCCGCGCGGGCACACTCGCCGTGCCGCGCGCGCTGCCCCCTTCCGCGCCTCCCTCGCTGCCATCGCTGCCATCGCCCCCTGCAGCAGCAGCGCGTGCCGCCAGTCGCTGTGCGAAGCTCTTCGACCCGCTCGGCGGCCGGCGCTTAGCGCTCGCCGCGGGCGCCATGGAGGCAATGCGCGGCGGCGCAGGAGGGCGCGCGAAGGGGTTGGCGCCGACGATGGCGGTGCCGCCGAACGGCTGCCTGCTGTCCGCCACTTGCGGAGGTTCGAGCCCGCTCCCCTGCTGTAGCTCCCCATGCTCGCCCCATCCCCACGGCATGTGCGCCTCGGCGCCCTCTTCGTCGCCCGCTCCCCGCCCCTCGCTCTCCGCCATCGCCTCCCGCTCGCCCTCCGCCGTCGCCCCTCGCTCCCACACATCACCCGCGACGTACGCCGCGTCGTCCGCTGTGCTGTACCGCGCCTCGCCGTCCTTCACGTGTGCCCCTCGGCCCACCGACGAGCACGCGGCGAGGGCGGAGGCGCCATCCGCGACGCAGGGGTCGGCGGACGCCACTGATGCCGTCTGCGCGGAGGCGCGCACATTGTCGCCCGCGGATGGCGCGTTTGCCGTGGCCTCCGCAAGCAATGCGCGCAGCCGCTCGCGAGACCCAGTGGGGAAGGCGGAGGATGGGAGGGGGGGCAATGCTGGCGGGGCTCGGGAGGGGTCGCCCGCCAGGGTCAGGGGCGCGTTGACTGGTGGTCGCATGCTCCCCGACCTCCACGACAGTTGAAACACTAGGCAGCGACCGTGGCGGTCAGAGCAGGGATGGGTATATTTAGCAGGAAGAGAGCGAGAACAGGAGGAACTTTTGATGTGAATGCGGGGAAACTACACCGATGGGTCAGGTTGGTGGGAATTGTTCAGGGACAGCATGACGGCTGCGTCACACGTCGCAAGGGACTTGGATTTCTTGGGAAAACCCCTTTGATATGAGGGCTACTCACGAAAGTGGTTTCAAGTATACACTAAAATGCACCTATTCTTAGGGCGTGCAACTTTTTCCGTTTTGGTCAAAAATCCGGACCCCCAAACAGGCCGGACGGAGCTCCGTCCGGACGGTTGGGAATCAGGTACGGTCAACTGCCCGTCTGGACAACAAATATGAAACTTTTTTGCAATTTCGAAAAAATGCAATTCGTAACAAAAATAACAAACTTCGTACAGCGATCGCAAGTGTCGTCACACTAATTTCGCGGCACAGTACTGGTTGTGGTTGTCACCAACTTCGCGCGCCAATGATATCGCAGCCAAAGCGGGCGGTTCGAACTGCTGTTCGAACGGTTTCAGGTGGGTAGTCCGGACAACTTTTTGGCAAAAAGGTGCCAGATTTGGTCCGGATTGTGGCGACGTTGAAAGGAGTCTCCCGAAACATTGTACGAATATTGACGATTGCGGTAACCCTAAAATAGTCCGGACGGGTAACCCTAAAGTAAAAAAGTTACACGCCCTTAGGAGGTGGTGCAGATAGGAGAGATCTGAGGCTGATTGCCTCGATCTGACGCAATCCACCATTTATGAGAAGGCCCAGGGGCATTTTGAGGCAATCAAATGCAAACTCTCGATTGAGATCGATTGCCTCGATCTGACACAATCGATTACGATTGATATATTGCCCCAGTTTGCGACGCCTGGCAACACTCGCGACCCGTAACCCTCTCTCCCGAAGTTTCGTGTCTACTCGCAGTAGCATTGGATATCACCACTGTCAAACATTGTATATGTTATATTTGTGTAGGCTGTAGTGGGTTAGCCTATAAGGGGGTCACAGCGTTAGGGTTTCATATTTGTACTCACATTCCATTCTAGTTCACCATTCCAGTCTGTTATTTTTGACATGGTTTCAGAGCAGGTCCTTCGCTAGGACCGTCCTAAGGGCCCACCTACCTACCTACCTACCTACTTACTACCTACCTACTACCGGAGCGCGTTCTTAGCGCCTCCCCCGTAGCGCCCTCGAGCGCTTTATTATTAACTTTTTTTTTTCGGCCCCGCTGGCCCCGTCGATCGAGCCCCGCCTAGAGGCCCCGCGGCCCCGTCGCATTTGACCTAGAGGCCCCTCACGGCCCCGTCGCGCCGCCCCTTAGCGCCTCTTACGACCCCGCCGCGCCTCTTACGACCCCCGCGATCCCCCCTAACGGCCCGCGCACCGCCCGCTACCGACCCACGCAGCCCGCACTTCACCCGCGCGGCCTGCGTGCTGCCCGCTGCCGGCCCGCGCACCGCCAGCGCCACTCGCGTACCGCACGCCCGTTGCCTGCAGCCGCTCGCGCACGCCCCGCAGCCGCCCGTCGCCTGCTCGCACACGCCCCGCAGCCGCCCGTCGCCTGCTCGCGCACGCCCCGCTGCCCGCAACTGCTCGTACGCCGCTGCCTCCGCTGCTGCTTGCGCACCGCTGCCCGTGCGCTGCCGCTGCCCGTGCGCCGCCGCTGCCCGTGCGCCGTCGCTGCCCCTACGCTGCCGCTGCTCGTGCGCCGCCGCTGCCCGTGCACCGCCGTTCCCCGTGCGCCGCTGCTGCCCGTGCGCTTCTGCAGCCGCCGCCCGCGAGGCACGCGCTCTCACTGTTTTTTACTTGCTACCTACCGCGCACACTGCTGCCACTGCAGCTGCCACCAGTGCGCCGTTGCAGCTCCTGCTGCCACGCTACCTACTACTGCCGCTCGTGTGCCACTACGGACAGTTGACCCTCCGCACACCTTTCCAGCGGCCTGATTCCTACTACTACTGCTACTGCTACTGTCACTATGGCTAGTCCTCCCGTTCTAGCTTTCGATGCCGAGGGCCGTCCAGTGAAGTTCGAAACCTGGCTAGATGACCTGCACCTGTTCCTACAGCTCACTGCCAAGGAAGATATCTCACTGTACGACCACGCCCTAGGCCATGCCACTGCCCCTGACTCGTCTGCTGACAGCACTCTGCGTTCCCAGTGGCAGACCCGTGATGCACACGCTCGCTTCGCTATTCGCAACTCCCTGCCGCTAGACGAGCGCGAGCACTTCGGCCAGTGCAAGACTGCTAAGGACCTCTACACCGCTGTAGTTGCCCGCTACTCCTCACCCGCTTCTGCCACGCTAGGCCGCCTCACTCTCCCCTACCTGTTCCCCGACCTAGCCTCCTTTCACACTGTCGCAGACCTCATCACCCACCTTAAGACTAGTGAGGCCCGCTTTCGCGCTGCTATGCCTGCCGAGTTTCTCACTAGCAACCCCCCCCCACTCTGGATCACTCTCTACCACATCGTCACCCGCCTCCCTGACTCTCTGCGCGCAGTCAGGGACCACTTCCTCTCTCGCTCCCCCACTGAGCTCACTGTTGCCCTCCTCGAGAAGGAACTGCTTGCAGCTGAGGCGAGCATCGTCGCTGTAGGCACCTCTCGTGGCGACCCCCGCACCCCGTTCTTTGAGGGGTGTTCCCCTTCCCCCCCTCCTCCCTCTGTCGCCTCTGCTGCTGCTGTCGACCTTCTTGGTGCTGAGAAGGTCGGGACCGCGTCTGCTTCGAGCGGGCGCCGCAGGAACAAAGGGGGCAGGGGTGGGGGTGGCGGCGGAGGAGGTGGGGGTGGAGGCGGTGGGAGTGGAGGCGCGGCTGGGGAGACTAGTGGCGGCAGTGGGGGAGGAGACAGCAGCGGTGGGAGTGGTGGTGGTGTCAGAAGAACTAGGCAAGAATGGTGCATTGAATGAAACAGTTGGGTACAAGTAGCAAACCCTAGTTGGGGTTGTACCCCATATTGGCTACCCCACTACAGCCTACAAGCATAATGCAGTTTAACACACCCCCATAGGCAAAGTGGGGGAGAACAAAGGGTCACAAGACCAGTCCAGCAAAGCAAAGCAAAGCCCAGGGTGGATCACAACGTCACCACACTCCGAGCACAAGTAAAGGCCACAAGGCCAGTTCACATGCAGTGCTAGATATAGTACAAGACAAACAACACAGTGATCAAAACCTAGCAAGCAAGCAACAAGATATATATAAAGTACAGTACAAAGAATGTCAAGCAGTGAGCAAGTGAGGAAACGTGGACACAAGGCCTAAAGAAGTACAGTGCCGCTGATGATCACTAGGCGGGAGCGCCTTGGTGAAGATATCAGCAGTGTTGGCCTTCGAGTCCACGTACACAAGCCGAAGCTGACCGCGCTGCTGAAGCTCTCGAGCAAGAAAGTAGCGAAGAGCAATGTGCTTCGTCCTGTGCTCCAGTCTGTGCTCCTGACACAAGGCAAGAGCCGCCTTGTTGTCACCGTACAGAACTGGAGGAGAACTAGGCCGCTCTCCCAAGTCAGTCAGCAGGTAGGTGAGCCAGCGTAACTCCTGTGCAGCCATGGCTGTGGCGTAGATCTCAGCCTCACAACTAGAGCCGAGAACAGAGGAAGAGCGGGTGGACCGCCACGAGACAGAACCTGAGCCAAGGCTGAAGGTGTAACCCTGTGACGACCGCTGCGTAGCCAGGTCGTCCACCCAAGAGGCGTCCGAGTGACCAGTGAGGACAACTCTGTCGCGTCCTCCAAGCACCAGCCCCATGCCTGATGTACTGCACAGGTAACGCAGCACCCTCTTAGCAGCCTCCCAGTGCTCTCGCCTGTGTCTCCCAGGCGCAACGTAACGAGCAAGGATGCTAAGAGGGTACGCGAGGTCAGGTCGCGTGCAAGTCATCAGGTACATGAGGCAGCCTACAAGCTCTGGGTACGGGCCACTCGGCTCTACGGACTCGTCCGAAGGTGGAGCTGAGAGCGAGTGGCTGGTAGCCAGAGGTGTGGCCTGTGGTGAGGAGAACTGGAAGCCGAAGCGCTGAAGGACCTGCTGCACCATGTGTGACTGAGTCAGGGTGATGGTGCGGCGAGCTCTGTCCCGGGTGATCTGCAAGCCAAGGTAGCTACGCAGTTCACCCAGGTCAGTGCAGGTGTGTCTCTTCTGCAGCTCCGACTTCACACGAGCGAGTGCCTCAGTGTCAGCAGTAGCAAAGACCAAGTCGTCGACGTACACGAGGATGTAGAACGGCGGCAGCGACGTGTCTGTGCGCAAAACAGCGACGGGTCAGCAGTAGACGGCGCGAACCCAAGAGCCGCAAGAGTAGTCCTCAGTGTGTCGTGCCACTCACGTGGCGCCTGGCGGAGACCGTAGACTGGCCGGCGGAGACTCCACTGGGTACCAGGGGGAAACGACCCAGTAAAGCCAGGTGGGCGGCGCAGCCAGATCTCCTCGTGCAGGCTGCCCTGCAGGAACGCTGTGCTGAAGTCAAGAGAGTGAAGCTCGTAGTCACGCTGAGCAGCAACGTGCAGCAGAACCCGAAGAGTGGTCATCTTCGGGGTGGGGGAGAAGGTCTGGAAGAAGTCGACCCCCTGACGCTGACTGAAGCCTCTAGCAACGTAACGAGCCTTGAAGACAGGCGGAGAACCTGGCGGCCGCTTCACCCTGAAAATCCACATACCATCGACGATGTTCGCCCCAGGAGGGGGAACCTCGTCGACGTAGGTGCCTGTGGACTTCCAGGATGCCATCTCTGCGTCCATGGCTGTCTGCCACTGAGAGGAGTAGGGACCCGAGATCGCCTCTGCGTAAGTGCGCGGAGTGGGGATGTCTACTGCATCCGGGTCTCCCTCAGGGGCAAGCAACCAGGCCACGAGATGAGGTACAGCAGCCGCAAGAGAGTCAAAGTCCTCCTGCCTGTCCTCAAGGACGTCCGTGCCAAGAGCACACTCACCCCCGACGGACGG